TAGGCAAAGGGATTTGGGGATTAGACACAATTAACCGTCCTTGAAAATATAAAATTGATAAACTTAAAAACTAGTAGCACATAAATATAACTTTAAGGGCTAAAATAACAATAAGTTAAAAATGAGACTTGATAGTTTCAATAAGCGACACGTGTCGATTATCTTTCTTTCCTTTAATATATATAATGATTTTATTTTATTTTCTTACAAAAATCGAATACCTGACCACTCAAAATAGTTATCCATTATTACCATGAGTACCACAAACAATCAGTAAAACATTGAAGGTTGAGATAGTAACAAAATCTCTATAGGTAAATACCTTTAAACTAAGGAAAAAAAAAGTGGTTGTTCTATCAAAAGTTCATCAAACTTATCGGATCTCCGTTAGTTTTTTTTAATAAAAACATCCTAACAGTTTCAAAACACTACAATGAGAACTCCCTTAGTTTCCTTTTCATTTTTTTAATTTTTTTTTCTATTTTATTCTTTTTCTCTTTACTGCTTTCATAACTATTATATTAAAACTAGATTTTTCATGTGCAAAAGCATGTGATTAAGTCCAGGGGTAATTTTATCATTTTATTTTAAAATAAATTTATATTTAAAATTGTAATTCATTTTTCAACTATTCTTATTCTTATACTTTCTGATTTTTCTATGTTGATATTAGTATAATTACTAAATTTTAATAATTAATTTAATTGTATTTTAGCTTCTAGATTATAAAAAAAATTAAAATAAAGAAAATAAAGAAGAAAATTTTGAATTGAAGTGAACATGAAAATTAATAGTTTACCATTCAATGACGAAAAACCCTCAAGAATCAGTTAAGATAAGTCTTTCTTTCTTGACTTCCCATATACTGATATATAGTTAGTTACAAAATATAAATTTTACTCACTCTATGTTAAAATGATTATTTTTAGACAACCATCTAAAATAGAAAAAAGTGTAATTTAATTAGTCCACCACGATGAATTTCTATGAATTTAGTTGTCACCATTATTACTTTTTTTAATAATTATTGTTGTTATATATTGAGGAGGCTAAACTATATAAGCAATCATCTAATTTATTAACAAAGATAAATAGATGCACTCTTTGATAATGTATTTTTAATATTTTTTATAACCTATAAGTAGAAATGCAAAAGGTAAATTGTTTTTTGAAATTTAGTATTTATACTAGTGACATGCGGTGCAATACAATCATAGTATAGTGACATATTTTGTGGTTTAATTTTAATAAATACAACCATGAATTACAAATATGCAAAAGTCAATCGAGTTTGAAAATAAATTAAATATTTCTTTAAAGATCAGTAGTATGCTTTTATGATTATGAAAAAATAATAAAGAGAAATACAATAAAATAGAAAAAAATAAATAAAAAGTGAAAAGGATTTATTTTATTTTTACATATTTTGTGGTTATTTATATTTTAAAAACTATTGGGGACTAGTGAAAATTAATTATATTTCACGGAAGCTGAAAAATTTTAAACATACAAGACAAAATTAGTTAACTGAAAATCTGTAAAGTATGATTAACGACGAGGGTAAAGATTGGATACAACTACCAATTTTTCCATAAAACTAACATTTTGAATATCAAACTTTAGCTTTTTAAATAGAATATTTTCTGTTCGTGATTGGTGTTTGGGTTGTGATTTGATTATTCTCAAGAGATAGATGTATCCACATTGGTTTTTGTTTAGATTTGTAGATTTTGATGGTTTTTTTCTCTCTCTTTTTTTTTCAAAAAATATTTTTGTCATTTTTATCTTCTTGGTGGATTACCATTTTTTTTCATTGATTTGTTAGATATATGAGATTTCTTTGAGTGATTAATAGTACTCATACTCCATGTATTGATGTGTATGGTTGATGTATATATAAATTTTCGTCGATTATTGATATCCGTTGCGTTGTCTTATTCTTATTGTGTATTTGGATGAAAATAATAGCAATGGTGGATTATACCGATTTTCCTCGAGTGACAAGATTGCGTAGGGAGACAAGTTTATACGTTCGGATCATTAATGTCATGTAAATTATTTGAGCATCTGCGAATTTGTCACATTTCATTAATTGGGAAAAAAAAATTGTATTATAAAGGAGGTAAATGCCTTAAACAAGCTATTACAGCACTTTGATAATACATACCAATGATGTCATGTTGAAGTCAAAGTTTTACATTATTTGGAAGATCATCTAGCCATTGTATTCTGCCAGGACTAACTATTATTTGACTTTAAATATTAATATCTTATTATGAGGAACTTCATTTCTAATTAGAGCCCACAAGTCCCTCATACACTTTACCTCAGATTATAAACATTTATTTCAACTTGGAACCAATTTTAACTGAACTATCTTCCTTGCTCAAATAAATTTCATGAATCCATTTCACACAAAAAATTTCGTTGTTCATAACCAATGACTACACATGTCTCAACATTGCGGCCATTTCCAACCCTTATTGACACAATTGTAGTAAGAGCTTGATTATCAACTACTCCCTCCGTCCCATAATTATTATTCAATTTAGGTTTTCATTTCTAATGCCAATTGTACTAAAAGTGAAATTTTAAACTACACAATTTTAGGACAGAGGGAGTGTGAAATAGTGAAAAGTTATTTATAGAATCATATGTAAAATGCTTCAATAAATTTGCTTATTTTTATGCGGAGGACAAATTTATAATAATTCTTCCGTTTTAGAAAAACAACTCACTTTATTGTATTGTTTTCAACAAATGAACTTTTTTTTCGTCTTTGAATAGTGGGAGTAAAATTTAATTTGGACATGAGTATATCAAATCATAAAAACTCATAGTGCACAGTGCATAATGATAAAACAAATGCCATATCTTTCAAAAAATGTATTTGGCCCCGGTACATGTTCATTACTACTCCCTCTATTTTTTTTTATGTCTTTTTAAAGAATTCATCAAAACCAAGAACATATTAATTAATATAGTTTAAATACAGAAATACCTTTATTAATTTTCTATATAACTTATCACAAACCAATAGAAATTGATTATAAATATTGTTTCATTTCTAATGCAAGGGTAATTTCAGTAAAAAGTGGTCAAATATGCCTCGATTTGTGAACACAATTTATATTTAAAAATTTTTACCAAACTCTAAAACGACATATATTTCAAAATGGAGGGAGTAACATTTAACCCCCACACAAGCATAATAGTACGAAGACTTGTTGTCTTGTTGATGCTATTACAGTAAAACTTCTCTAAATTAATCTTCTATAAATTTATAACCTCAATTAAAAAATAAATTTTGCTGGTCCCAACTCAGGACCAGTACAAAAAATGAAAAAATTCGATTAATTTATAATATAATAAATTTCAAGAATCCCTTACGTAAATATATGTCCCCACATTTTTATAAATTAATAATTATCTAAACAAAAACTAATAATTTCTAGTAAAATATGAATCTATTGATCTTGTTTTTTAAAAAATTTTATATCTATAGAGATATCATCTTTAATCTTTCTCATTGCAAAAAGTTCCGGTGTCACTTTGTCATACTGTAACAAAAAATTATGAAGAGAGTTACTGCTGCCTTTAGTCTTTTTTTCTGGATATTAGTTCCAAAGAGACCGAATCATCTTTAGCTTCATCTTCAGTTGAATTTTCGTAACACTAGCTGCAATATCCTCAAAATATTTTATCTCTGTAGATTCATTATTTTATTCTAGGTAATCCAACAAAAGATCGACATCCATTTTTTCGCGATAACAAAGAAGATTCAAAATTTGCAAGCCACACAAAGAGAACCCTTGTACCGTATTAATAAAGTTAGAAATTCATATTTGTAATCAATTTTTCTTCTTTTTTTTTGAGATAAAAGAGATTTTAATTAACTTTGTTGGAAAACGTCCAACCACGATTAACAGAGGATTACAACCACTAAGATATTACAATCGATTAGAATTCTATTTCTAAGAATCAGCCGACCGTCTTTACTGCAGACGACAAAATCACTAACTCTTCGATATCACCCGCAAATACTAGTTGGAAGCATCACGTTCCAAAGGAAATCCCCGATCTCGAATACTTCACTTATCATCAGATGAAAGCTCCAAAAAGCAGATCTAAAACGTAGATCTCCTTTGACTGCAAATCCTCGAATATAAATCATGGCCATGAACCATAACAGTACAATCATGGACAAAACTATGAACTAAAGATCTCACACAATCACAAAAGAACTAAATAAGAATCATTGACAAACTACTAACACCTAGTATATCAAGATATACTAACAGATAATACACGTCTAGCAAATCAAAGATATGCTGACGGACTAAATTTATTCGATTAAAGAAAAATAAAACTAGAGACAAATTATTTCCCCCATCCTCCCATGGAAGAGAAGATGGGGAAGAAATTAAGTGGTAGAAAAAGGGAAAGGATGAGAAGAGAGAACCGTAATAAACCAAATCACCAATTTATGAAAGAAAACGGAGAATTGATAGAGACCAATTGATGTAAATTATTGATCTGATTGTAATCAACTTTTCTTTCTTTTTGACAAAGATTATTTTCTATTAGGATTGAAAAACTCTTTAAATTAATAATTATTAATTTATCGTTTAATAACTCGATAAATTAATAAATTTTGAAAGGCCCAATGCCATTAATTTAGGAAGGTTTTACTGGAAATGGCTTTTTCTTATTAGGAATAATTTTGAATTGTTTATAAATTGAGTAGTCAAATGGCTGACTTTTTCCCTCCAGAAAAGAGAGTTAGGAGGATGTGTTAATAACATTTTCAAATAGTAGAGTTCAATTGGCAGGTTTATAAATCTTTGAGGGTATAGATAATAAATTTATCCTAATTGATCTGCCCAAAACCAAAACTTGGTAACCAAGAAAGTAATTTTTTATCATTTTTTTAATTATTTTTTTTTAACCAAGAAAGTAATTAAGAGGCATTAAAAACTAGATTTTATAAGATAACAATTCCCTTAAATGCAGATGGAATAATATCAAATAAACGTTAAAAATTATCTTTACCATCTTTGCTCTCATTCTAAGACCCCAATCCGACGGAGCTGTGTCCAACTGTCTATGTTCCTTCTTCCTACATCCCCCAAACCCAAAAGAAAGGTGAAAAAACAAGAAGCAGCTAAACCACCGGCAATAGCCGGTCACTCACCGTCCCTTCTCTTCCCGCGTCTCACATAAACCCACACACAGTCACACACTGCCGTGGAGTAGTAGTAGCGTCCTTCCGTAACGGGTAAACGGGTCAACCCAAAACAGCGTCCTTTAAAGCTTCCGTTTTTCTGCTTTAATGTCAGCATTCTTTTTTTTCTTTTTTTGGGTGGGTTTTGGTTTTCTTTACTTGCTAAGTTCATAACTGTTGTCGATTGTATGTGTTATTGGACGATTTTGGCTGATTGAAGAACATCAATCATAAAGCAAACTGTTTTGGGCAAGATTTTGTGTTTATGGTCTTTCTTGGTCGGAATTTATTTTGGGTTGTCCACTGATACGAGAAGAACCCGAGGGGTATTAAATTTGGGTTTTTTTGGGGAAAGAAATTGAAGGGTTTAAAGCAAGCCCATGTGATGATTGACTGAATTTCAGTTGCAATAGTTGTCAAGATCAAAATTTTTAGGTCTCTGTTTAGGGCTTTGTTTCTTTTTTGTTTTGGAAATCGAAGGTTGGATTTTTCTCATTTGTGATGAATTAATCTATGTCGAGTTTTTATTGATGTATCATCTGAATTTGACAATTGAAATGCATGTCTTCAATAATTAACCACGTCCCACGTAAAGTTGCCAACTTTTTGTAGCTTTTCTGACGTTATTTAACACTTTGGTACTAATCGCTTCGAAATTATGTGTTTTGATTAGTTTTTGGGAAAAATTCCCAACAAAATTTTGCTGATTCATTTTTAGCCCGGCTGTTTGATGTATTTCACCTGGGTTTTTTCTGTATCATTTCAGGGGTTGTAAGTATCTATCAATCGACCAGTGAATTCAAGCACATTGCCCTTGGAATTGAAGCTGTGAACGATCACAAATTATGGCGGAAACTAATCCAACATCGGCTTCCGAGAAGGAAAAGTCAGCTCCTCAGAAGAATGCTCGTAATAAAAATGAAAAGAATCAACAGGGTCCCAAAAGGATGAAGCAACAGAATCCGGTGGCAAGAGTGGCTCATGTCGCTGAACCTCAACAAAGAAATCACCCTGTTCCTGTTCCTGTTCCTGTTCCTGTTCCCGTTCCTGTTAATGTAAAACAGGAACCTGGTATGTCCAACCAAAGATTGAACAATCCGAGGTTGGAAAATATGATAAGCTCTGATGAATTCAAGCGGCGGCAGATTGCACATAAGCTACATTATCATAAATGGCAAATTGAAAATCAACAACTTAAGGCCAGAATTGAACAGCAGAGTCAAGAACGAGGAGAACAGTATGTGAATCCTAGTCCCGATTTTGATATATCTCATTACCCACAACAACATCAGAGGAGGAATCTGTTGGCACCACAGCAGCAGCCCAGTGACCAACAGCCTTACTCGCAGTTAATTAAGGAAGATATATACTCTGTGCGTTTGAAAGATTATCTTCATTATCTCCGGAATGGAATTAAGGTCCGTGAGTTCTACAAATTTTATCATTTTTCATCTTAAAATGAGATACTTTGTTGTTTAATTTTCTTTAGATTTCATGTAGACTCTGTGAAGGTTTTGATGGGATCCAGCTTTGAACTGTCTTCTTTTTTTTTTTGCAGAATAACAATATATGTTTTTGGAGGAAGTTTGTCTCCTCGTGCTATGCTGAGTGTGGTGTAGAAAGATGGTGTGTCACTTCGTATGAAAACATTGAGCAACCACTTCTTGGTGCTTTTTCCTTCCCAGCCATGGTTTGTTTCTTTGTTAGTCTGCAATTTATTTGTTCACTTTTTTCCCCTTAAATGTTACATTTGTTGGACTTCTGTAGAATCCTGAATTCTGTCTATGTGGTATAATCTTGTAAATTTGGTTCGATGATTTTGAAAACTTACTCTTGGAGCTCTCATCCTACTTATCTTGTTCTCAGGAAGCATGGTGTTGTGATCTTTGTGGTACAAACTCGGGAAAGGGATTTGGTGAGCAAAACTTGTCTCTAGTTTCTTGAAAGAAAAAAAAAAAATTGTGATTCTTTTCCTTCCTTTTGAAAGTATCTTCCTTTTCTACTAATTTGGAATCGTCTTTCTTGAGCTTGTGTTCCATCATTTCCTTGTTTTTCTCTCTATTTCTTTGATGAATGACTGGTCTCTGAAATCTATAATTGCTCTGCTTTTTGCCCTGTTTTGGCAGAGGCAAGTTTTGAAACGCTCCCAAGGCTTCTGCAAATGAGATATGAGAGTGGTGAACTTGACCAGACTTTGCATCTTGAGTCTCCTGGGCGTCATCAGCTTCTATCTGGGGCAATGCTGCTGGAATATGGAAAAGCTGTTCTGGAGACTACTTATGAGCAATTTCGAGTGTCTCGTGAGGGTAAATTACGAGTTATTTTTAGGAAGGATTTGAAGGTAATTTAGTACTTTCCATTATGTTTTTTTTTTTTTCACAACACAGCCAATTATGATACACTTATGCTAATTTATATGCTTGTTTTATTGGCTTTGTTCATGGTGTGTGCAGATATTATCATGGCAGTTTTGTGCTCAGCGTCATGAAGAATACTTACCTCGTCAATTGGTTGTACCACGGGTATGTTTCTGCCAGTTTGTTGCTGAACTTTTGGGTCTCTTATTATCTTGCGTACGCATGGCAACAAGCAGCTTTATATACAACTGAACTAGTAAAAAATTCTAGTTGTGGGGGCGTTTAATGACATACTTGTTTTCCAAAGTGAAACTATAACTTGTGAACGGTCTTCATTCAATTAATCTGGAGTTATAAAAAAGAATTCTGCCCGGAAACCATTAGTCCCCCGAGTTTTATTCTCTTAAATATTGCGAGGCTCCTGAAAGACTGTTTTGTTTAAAGTTCTTTCTTGCATTTTGTGATACACAATTCAGTTTCTGGAGAAGTGTAATAATTTTTCTTCTTGTCTTGCAGGTCAATCAGTTCATTGATGCTTCAAATCAATATCAAAGCTCCCTTTATGATAGTGCTCTTGGCAATGTCTCAGAACAGCAGCTGCTAGCCAATGGCAATATGTAAGTGCAACTTTTGCTGTCTCTGTGGTCAGCGAAAAATAGTGTTCAAGGAAGCTAGTTGTTATAAGGCAGTTTCTCTCAGATGGACATACATGTATGTTAAACAGAAATATCAGATTAGGATTGCCTTCATATCACTGCACTTAATGCAAAACCAAGATGGAATCTAGTGGATTGAAAACTTTTTGTTCTTTTTGACGCCGTTGTATCCATGGCGTTATTTGAAATCTTGCTAGATATCTGATTTATTCATTAGTTCAACCATGTGATGACATAAAATTAGCTATTCTGATATTAAATTCTCCACCCCCTTTCCTAACAAAAACCCCCTAGCTGATTGACATTTGCAGTATTCCAGATGGTTACTTAACAGTTTTTCATCCCCTAGGAACAGCTGTCTCTGTATGTAGCAAATTCATTCTTGGTCGAGTACACAATTCATCAAGGGCTGAACAAAGTATTTATCTTTCACAGGTACAAGAGATCTGGACAACAGCTGAAAAGTTTCGTGGAGCTACCATTGATCAATGACTTGGGATTTTCTGCAAAACATGGTAGATGCCTAGAGGTAACCTCTTATTGGCTTGAAATGAGTCACTGGATTGCTCTGTTTCTAATTTTCCACTAAGTACGGGCGTATACATTGAACTGTCCACAGGTAGCTAAAGTTGTAAACGTCATGAAAGATCTCATGGATTTTTGCTTTGACAGAAAAATTGGACCAATTGGTACGCACATTCCTATCTTGACTGCTTTCATCTGTTTCTGTCATTAAATTTCAACTGTTCTATCTCATAGGCTGCATTTGTTGGAACATTACTTGCTAATAAAATACATTCATTCTCAGAGGGCTTGCAGACTTATCCTCGTGTGGGCAACAACTCAAACATGTGGGTAAGTATGCAGACTCAGGCTCAACAAACACCCGGACAAGGGAGCACACCATATGTACAGGGTAATGGGATTTGGCCCGGGGCCATGCCTTTCTCTGAAGGTCAGATCAATGTTGGGCCAAACAGCAATGGAGTAGTTTTCAACGGCTCAGTACAAAACAGATCCAGAATGCCTGTTTCCCATCAGGGATTCCAGAGGGAAAATCCATCAAACACAATGCAAAGCACCTCAATTTCAAATTATGAGCAGGCAGTCTTGATGAGCCAGTCTGGCCAAAATAGAGCTTCTCCATATGGGATTATTAACTCTGATAATAATCACATATTAGTTAACAACAGCTCAGTGCTGAACAGCTTGTCGAGTTTACCGGTGTCTGCAACAAGTAAGATGGTACACCAGCACATTTTGAATAACTCGTTTGATCAGGCGACGGTGGCTAACAACAGAAATGGAAATGTCACTATGCAGCAGAATGGAGGTTGGAGTTTGGATGAATTTTTGTATGGCATGAACCCCTCTGCTTCCTGATCATAGGATCATACCTCTATATGGCAGCTTCTACTTGACTTAATGGAAACCTAACCACTCCAAAGACCTTTGAAAGATTTAAGGTGCACACTGTACAGTTTTGAAAGAAAATTGACATGTAATTTATGCAGATGGAAAACTTTTGGCAGAAGTAGAAGGTAGACTACTTTTTTTGCAAGTGGATTTGATTACATTACTCATTCAAGTCAATGGTAATATATGGTATTTGCTGTTGGAAATCCTTCTTTTGTTTCCTGAAATATACAGAGTCCTACAACTAATGTTCTCCCTCGTGTCCTTAATATAAGGTATTTTGATTTTGTCCTAAATTTTACTTAATATGCATTTTTAATTGACGAAAAAGCTTAAAAATAGATTTTTCATGTTCGTTGCATTCTCTTGGTTGTTATGAAACATTTTTAAAGTTTTTTTATCAATTAAAAATACATATTAGGTTAAATTTAAGACAAATCAAAATGCATTATATTAAAGTACGGAGGGAGTACTAAGACTCAAATCTTCTGTCTAACGATTTGTTTGTTGAAAAGGTGGACGTCTCAGAAAATGGTGGGCTAGAGAATATCGACTTAACTTCAGGGCCTAAAAGTGATGCCAAAAGATGAGTGAATTCGCAAAAAAGCTTCTTCTCAACATAATTTCTGAACCTCAACATTAATTTGTTTGGATGAGTGACGGGCATAAAGGAATTTGTACGCTTATTATGACAAGACACGCATCTTTTCTTAATTGACAATGAAAGACAGCCCCTGTAACAGCACAGACAAAAACTGTTGCATCACTGAATCATAAACACTAGATAGACTCCACCACTTAAAATATCTCCTCAGCCGGATGTTAGACCATTAATTATTACATTTGTGTGTAAATAAATTTTATTATATTTGTGTGACACTATTATGCTTGATACTCCCTCTGTCTTAAAATAAATCGTACTGTAAATAAAAAAACATATTATTATAACTAGGTAAGCAAGCACTTCTAATAATGATGTTCCATTCCTATGATATTCTATATAGTCTGACATGGTATATAGTTATTTCATCCGTCATTGTAAAACACATCATATATCATATCATTGCAATACATAACCACAACGATTTCGTTACAAAATGGGGAGTGTTACAATCTACTGAGATTTAAGAAGGCCCCAAAAAAAAAAACTCATTATTGAAAAACAAATTGAATATTGTTTCTCAATAACAGGGGATTGCACCTTTGAGTCTACAATCAAATGGTCAAAAAAGGAAGGCAATAATAACTCTAAAATCGCCAAGATCTTGTATATTAACAACTCTGCCAAGAGATACAGAACATCTACAAACTCAATTGGCTGGAAATATATGCCATTGGAGTAGCTATACTAAACTCATCAAAGAGGTTTACCGCAGCTAAAAAAGCAGCAACTTCTCCTTGAATTCGCTAGGATATACACAAACCGAGTCCACACACAGGCCACCTTTAGTGTGCGTGCAATCAATCTGGGTCATCGAAAACTTGACCTTAGTTGGAGTGCTCGGATCAACAACAGTGAAATCTCCGGCGTGGTAACAAGTCCACTTTCCCGGTTCCTTTATATAGCATTGGGATGTTGCATTCTGACCATCTGAAGTCGAAAGTTGGAATCGTACTGGCTTTACATCCCAGCCGTGCACATGCTCGGTGTTACAAACACGACGACCAAACCTTTTAGAAGTCTTTCCTAATTGCAGCCGGAAAAACAGGCTATAGGTCCCTGCAGTAAAGGGAAACTCGAAATCTCCATCAACTTCAAACCACCAGGTTTGCTGGAGATAAGCAACTGAACGGAATCTGCAGACAAAGAGGAAACCATAAGAACTTAGTAATTTGAAAACTAAGGGAAAGTTGCTTCTCGATTAAAACAAAAGATCTCATGGAATCATAACGGAGTACAGGCATGTAGTTTACTTCTAGATTCTACTAAAGCAACCACTTGGCCTTTGCTACAAGTTTTGCCAAATAAAAGTTGACTTTTCCTTCTACAAGAAGGGAAGCACATTATAACAATAATCTAAACACATGTACCAAAAACAGATGTTTAAGAACCTATCCAAAAGAATCTACTGGGTAATTGAGTGATCAAAGTTTTACAGCATTGCTATAAATCCTACAAGTTACATGTCCATAACAAGATATATTTTGTATGCAAGGAAGAAAAATTCCAATGAAAACAGAAAAGGAAAACCATCCAAAGACCATATTTGGGCACATAAAAATTATATCCAATCCAACTGTCAAAGTACCATAAATGGAGATCCATACAAGTCCTATGAACTGCCGTATTTTGCAAATAAGATTACACTCGCATCTGTGGAATATTACTGCAGGAAAGAAAATACTAAAAAGTGACTAGTAATAAATAATATATACACAAAGCTAATACATGCCAAATTATTTTTAAGCAAACAACCGTCTTCTTACAAGAATTTTAATCAAGAAATGCACGGCGTACACTTGAACTTGGATCAGCTGATAAAAGACATGAATCAAACAAACGTACAGAGGTTCAATATCCAAATAATAATATAGTAACAGAAAAGGCCGCAAAAACAAACCTTGATTCTTCAGTCTGCAAACGGCTCCAATATCTTCTGTCATCAATTCCTGTAATGGCCAACCCACCAGCACCAGAGGAAATCGATAGACAAAATTTCCCTGTACCTTTATCCAACCACACCACCTGCAGAAATAAAAATCAATTTAAATCCCACCAAAACTCCGCATAATTTATATAACACCCATCTTCAGGTCGAAACCACAAGCTTACAGAGAAAGCGAAGACAAAAGCGTTTGCACCTTTGGAAAATTAACACATGCGCCAACAAATATTCCCATCATACACTACAGGATTCCAAATTATTGGCAAATATCTCAAAAGAACAGGACAAAACCAACCAAAAATTGTCCAATTTCAAAATACGATTTAAATTTATCAGAAAAAGAATCAAATAACAACCAAATAGGGGGAAATAAATTCAACCAAAAAATCACAAGATCTAAAAACCAAAGATTAATTGCACAGGAAAAAAGGATTAACCTTTGCGCCACCATCAAAAGATTTGGTTCTACAAAGCCTGGAATAAATATCCTTCTTACACAAATCCTCAGGAAACCCACAATTTCCATTTTCCTGAACGCCGCCATCGTCATAGACCCTTTGAATAACAGAGTCATAATTCAAAGGCAGCTTCGACTCCCAAATAAAATCAGCAGAAGAAGCTCCTCTAAAAGCCCTGTTCAACATTGCAAGCCTACAGATCTCCGGCGGGTCTAAATACAACAAAACAGAGGCCACACAGCTTTCCGGCAAATCCCCTAACCCAGGCTTTGCCGGTGGATCCTTGGAGGCGTTCCCGCTTGAAATCATCAGGGAAAAAGCGCTACCCATCACGGATAGGCCTTCAAAGATTCAATCTTTATTATCCGATTGATGCAAATTATTTAGCTTTGTTGATAGATTGAGAGAGAGAGAGAGAGATAAATGATGATGAATGAGAGAAAAATTGGAGGGTATAAGATAATCTGTGAGAAAATGAGAGGAGAGAAAAGTGGACGGTTCGAAGACAAATATTGCAGTCAACATTTGCCAGTTGGATATATAGAAGACGATTGCAAGGTTTTTATTTTTTTATTTTTTTTTTCCTTTTGGTGGGTCCTTTTTCTTTCCGGTGTACGGTGGATCATTTTCATTTTTTCTTTTTTTTTAAAAAAAAAATTTTGTGGAGAGAATGGACAAGATTAATTTTAATTTAATTTACTTTATTTAAAGTAAATAAAAGTTCGAGGAAGTGTGAACTGGATAAGAGAATTAATTCATTCCTTGTTTAAAAAACGCGGGGGGAAAATTTGGATAATTGAATGGACACGGACAGAATATTGAGAAGTGGAAAAAAGATTTTGCTTAATAAGAGAATTTTTCGGGGTTTCATTTTATCTAACGATTGTTTTCAAATTTAAATAATAATCATATTTACTTATTACAACTAATACTTATCTCTTTTTTTTATAAAGGGCATGTTAGAGATAATTAAAGGGTACTTTCTGTTATAGTGAATAAATATTTTTTTGTACATCAATAAGTTGACAAAATCCGTCTTTTCTTCTACTACGAATCTTAAAATTGATCGACCAGAACTCTAAAGTGTCTTTACGATAAATGTTCCTACTTCCACGACTATCATGATGGACGAAAATCAATAGTAACTAGGAAAAAAGAAAAGCGACAGTATTTCTGGATACGTAAATTTTTTTTTTAGATTTGTGTGTGTGTATGTCTTTTTTTTGTCGAGATAAGGAAAATACGTATTTGTTAAATTAAAGTAACACAATAAACATCAATTTTTTTTTTTAATGAAATAAGATGTACGCCTACCACGTACTAAGAATAAACTTTCCCTTCGATTGCTATCGTTCGTCATTGGTTTGGGCATTGGACAAAATTTACAGTGACAAAACAAAGAAAGAACAAAAGAAATTGTGGCGTTTTAAAGGCACATGAAGACCGAAGATTTGCACAGCTTAATTATGCTTTAAGCACATGGAGAATGAGCTAGAAAAAGTTGTTATGCTTAATACTAATAATAGAATAGGGCGTGTAACCATAAGTGTCCCCTTGTGAGTCATTTTCTCACTCAATATAGAATATGTGACCCTTCACCTTATTAGTAATCAAATAATAATGTTCATGCTAGCCTTTCTTTGTATCTAAATGAAATAATGCGAAAATTATGGTACTCATTTCGTTACATTTTAACGATTATTCATTTTTTTTTTGTTAATTCAAACGATTCAGATTAATGAAGATGGGTGTGTCAAATGTTGTAGAGGTAATTGAATTGAGATTTACATGGATATAAACCAATGTATCAATGCATCACACAAGAGCTGGAATCATAAGGGATTCGTTTTATCTCTCTCACACACTATCTTTATCGTTTAGGATTAGCCTACCATTTTTGGTCAGAATAAACGCACTTAATTGGATTAATGGTCAACAAAATTGAGGTATCATTAGTAGGAATGATTGAATACATTCGTGTGTTTGATAGTATTAGTGTTAGTAACTGTCTAGAGTTATAGTCAATGAGTTGCCATTAATTACTTTATTGGAAATTAAACAATGTTTATCCAAAACCAGCTTAAGTAAATTATAAAAAATAACGATGTACTCCCTCCATTTCAAAATAAGTGTCGTCCTACACTTTGCACATAGTTTAAGAAACTCTTAAATAGGGTAATAAAATTACTTGAATATCCTCAACCAATCCCATTATAAAATTGTCCACTAATAGCATACTCTTTTGAGGGTAATTTTGGAAAATTTTGACAAAAAGTGCATTGAAATGTGAGAAACGACACTTATTTTGGAATTTCTCTATTTTGCTAAAACAACACTTATTTTGGAATGGAGGGAGTAGTACATACTGCGTACCTTTTTTTATTTTTTTTAGGAGAATCCAGGGCGGTACCTGGCGGGAGGACCCCGATTTTATTAATTAAAAGTAAAAGTTACAAAAGGCAGTGCTTAAGACTTACCCAAACGAAAAAGAACCGTCTTACAAAGTTTTCTAGTAAAACCCATGACGGTTATTGTACAATTACACTAGGAACAGTCTTACAAAGATAAAACTATAATCCCCTGACAGTTCACTTTTCCTCTCTAAGTTCCTAGGAGCTTGCCTTACAAAGATTAGAAACATAAAACCCTGGCAACTCCATCTAGGTTTCCTGAAGATCTAGAGACTATCTAACCCTTTTTTTTTTTCTTCCTAAGGTGACTAAAACCCTAGCTATCGGAACCTGAGATAGGGAACAGATAGTCTATCCAAATGAGCTTTCACTCTTACTGAGACTGGAGTGTCTAATGGACAATCATATTTCCTAGTGGTTCCCTCAGAAGCTCTCTTAGCAAGATCATCTGCCACACTATTTGTCTCTCGAAAAATATGAATAATTCTTGAATGTTATAGGCTCAACATGTATTTTATTTTTCGGAAAACATGAGAGAATTTCCATGGAAAACTCATTCCTTTTTGGAGACAAAGTGCGACTACCTTATTGTCCGTTTGCACTTTAATTCGTAGTAGTCCTTTCTCCAAGCAAGCTTTCAAACCATGATATACCCCTGCAAGTTCTGCTTCTAGACTTGTTGCTATGCTCATATATCTGCTTTCAACTGCAATAATTAGCCGGTTATCACCTCGCAAAACATATCCCCATCCTGCTTCACCTGGTTGTCCCAATGCTAAGCCGTCTGTATTTAACACGTATTCTCCTGAATCTGGTGGCTTCCATTTAACAATTTGAATCTTCTTGCTTCGTGGCCTTAGCACTTTCGCATTAAAAATCTCTTCCACTTCTTTTTGTTCCACAATGGTCCTGCCTGAAGCTTATGTACACTCAACAGATTGGAAATATTAGTATCAATAGCCTTACGCAACTGGGATAAATAAAAAGAAATACCTTCGAAGACCATTTTATTCCTAAGTTTTCAGACTTCCCATAGTATAAACAAGGGTGTCACCATGATAATTGATTTTTTTGCAGTCGTGAAATTCCCTACAGACTGCGATGCTTGTTAAAGACTCCACCATCCAGTGTGATTTTGAGAAACAATTCCTAATTTGGCCGCAAAATGTTGCCACACCATAGCTATCTGTGGGCAGCCGTAGAAAGTATGATCAACCTTTCTTCCGCATTTTGGCAAAAAAGACATTTCGATGGATTCAACATGATACTCATTTTCATCAATATTTCTGGAAAAGGAAGCAAGTGATTATAAAGTCTCCATGCAAAAAATGAAACTTTCAATCGAATAATTTTATTCCAAAAATTGCTTTAAAAAGGAAAAACTTCTCTGGCATTGCGAGTCTTATTGTAGGCAGGCGCAATTGTGAATTCTCCCGTTATCGATGGAGTCCACACGAGTCTATCTCTTTCTTCCAAGAAAATAAAATCCAAAGTACGCAGGTTAGAGATTATCTCTGGTTACAACAGTCCATCAAAAACCTGCAAGAAAAAAGATTTAGAGTGAAAAAACTCTCGGACTATTAGATTTAAAGCAGGTGGCATATGTTCTTCATTCCAAATTGCGGAGGGCGAAATCCATCTATCAAACCAAAAGGATGATGATCCATCTCTAATCTCAATTTTTGATCTCATCAACGCTAAGTGATTTACGCGCTGAATTCTGGACCAACTTATCCTTCCTTTTGCCGTATTTGATAAAGAACTAATAAAATGCACCCAAATTCCTTTTGAAGTCGCCACCTTCCACCACAGCTTTAAGGAGAAAGCTTGCATAACATCCCTCAGATTCCTTATATTCAGCCCATTTTCAGCAACTGGAGCTGTTAGATGACACCAAGCACGCCAATGCTTCTTATTCCCCTCTTCGGTTTCGCCCCACAAAAAATTTTGGCATTTGCGTTTAAGGGCAGCAATTATCATCTTAGGAGGCTCAATGGCAGCCAATGTATGTATTGGCAATGCAGAAAGAACATGTCGAAGTAAGATCAACTTCCCTCCTTGCGATAAAAACTTGTTCTTCTAGTTTAACAACTTTGCATCAAAAGCTTCTAACAAAAGCTGAAAATACTCATTTTTCTTCCTTCCTTTGTAAAGCTTACAACCCAAGTAAGTGAATGGTAGACTTCCCTGTGGCATTGAAGTGTTTGAGACACCGAGTGGACATGTTCCATGGTACTTTTATCTGAAACATAAAAATAATTTTTCTGTTTGTTAATTCGTTGTCCCGTAGCTGTTTCATAATCCTGCAAAAAAGAGTTCAAATGCTGCATAGAATGTGTTAGCCCTTTTGTAAAAACAATAAGATCATCGGCAAAACTTAGATGAGAAGGTATTATTGCTCCAGCCGACACTCCATACTGCGTACCTATTCATTTCCAATAAAAAATAATCATCAATATTATAATTATAAACTGTGTTATATTGTATTTTTATAAAAAAAAATTAAAATTTATGATGACCGATATTCCATTGTTCCGTTTAGTTTTATAAAAATGAACCCTTTTAACTTGTTGTGAAGTAAAACAAGAACTAAATAACCAATCCACACTCCTAAAAGGGACTACTCTCTTTTACTCTGTGATGACCCACCGTCAGGCGTCAGACCGTGATTGAAGTATGATATAATATGTGTTACATATCCTAGAAATGTGCTAAGTTGAAATTAGGCTTGTGGCCTCTCTGTCTGTAAAAAAAAAAAAAAAGACTACTCTTTTTTTTTTTTTTTTACTACATACATCATTATATTCACTAATTCCTTTCCCTGCTTGTTTTCTTGCACTCTACACACTCTATCATATACTAAAATTCATATGACATTGTTAACATTGGAGTACCACACATGTACACCTATAACAAAGAAATGGTACATTAGCTGGTAGAGATATGGGGGCATTGACTTGCTCCCATTCCCAACATAATATCCTACCAAATTTCATAAGCAAGAAGAAAGATTCAGGAACCTAATTAGACGAGGACCACAATTAAATTAATTAATTAGGGGAAATCAACTTTAATCAGTTTAATGTGTTGATGATATTGCATCCCATAAGATTCTGATACAGTTCCATTAAGAGTGAATTATGCATGTTGGTATGGGATTGATTTAAAAAAAGGTGCCACCGCAAAAAGTAGGCAAAAAATATATGCAGGTATTCCAAAACCAAAAGCAGAGAAAC